CTCTCTCTCTCTCTCTTTCTCGATATTTTAATTAACAAAAATTAAAATTGAAAACGAATTTTTTATAATAAAAATTAAAATACATCTTTAATTCTTAATATATGTAATAAATAAATAAAAATTAACTGCTTAAAGTATTTTTCTTAGGATTCTTGGCCCAATCAGCTCTGTATTATCACTGTTGATTAAAACAGTTTTTATATTTAAAAAAGAGTAAATGAAATAGTAACTTAAATGAAATAGTAACATTAAGGTTAAAGAATGCTATAATGATTTACTTAAAAAAATATCTAATTTTTATTAATTTCTTTAAATATTATATAAACGAGAAAATCACTTAATAATTTTACTTTAAGTATATAAAAAAGCGCATATATTTGGCCAGTGATGACAGAGCTCAAATTATGTGTTTAGTACAAAATGTATTTAGTATAGTATTCTTCATACTCTTTTTTTTGCAAGCGTTGACACGTCCATATACATTTTTAATTTTGAAATATTTACAAAACTTGTCCCCTATTCTTAACTCCGGTTTACTTTATCTAATTAAAATCATTAGCGATGTGTATCGATTGCATTCAATAAATTTGTTTTCAGACGAGAATTACTCGATATCTCGATCGTCAATCAAGCCAAAATTTAATAAACGATAGTTATTCCATTTACAAAAATGCTATCCAATGTAGATATTTACTTTATTTGTAGAAATTATTTTCATTAAACCTTAGCTTGCTAATGTTGAGTCTCATGTCAGAAAAAAATTTGTCAAACGTAATCAATACACATCGTTCTAATAAAATTAGACATTAAACTCATAACATAAATTAGATAAATTATTGCACAATTTTATTGGAAGTTATATTGAAATTTATATTGCATTGTTTATAAGAAGCACATTAATGATACTATATACTATATAATTATACAATAATATTAATTATTTAAGGGTCGCTTGTAAATATAGTATTCAATTGGCCCATATTCATAGTCAGTTCTTATATTTAAAGTTAAATATAGTCTTAAGATGTAAATTAATCACATTCATAGTCCATTCTTAAAACTGTTTCAAATAATTATTAAAACGCTATCTTAAAACGCTAATAAGGCTCTGCGGCCGTATTCATAGTCAATTCTTATGTTGAAGGGCTTCTTAAGTAAAATCTTAAGATATAAACCAATCAGAGAGTATATTAGAGTCATATTAGCATCTTAATGAGCTTTCTACGATAAATATTCAGAATAAAGGAGTCATTTTTTATGATCTTGATCTTGATATATTATCAAAATCATGACCTTGCCCTGAATGACTCCCAACAGGTTTGTGTCGCTCGTTAAAAAGTTGTTATTGTAAATTTATTTATCTTATTCAATAATCTCCTTAAGTTATATAAGGATAGAAATGGATAATAATAATCAAAATAATAGTCAAAAAACTTGATGGACTTCGCTTCGAATTTAAAACACCCTTAAACAGGGATGGGAAATGTCTGTTTTATTCTATTTTGACATAACAAAACAAGAACAATTATATAAATTATAGCAGAATATATGTAAAGTATATATATGCATATGTATAGTAAAATATATTGTGTTCAAAAATTACGTTTTATTTATAAAAGTTGTCTTGATAATAACTTTTTAACAAATAACGATCGAATTTGTCGAAGACGCAGGATTATGATAACATTAACAACGTGTTAAGGTCAAAGTCATCGGAGTTGATTCTCCTATTCTAAATACATTTACAGCGAAAATCCATAAGACATGTACATTATTTAAGACGGTCTTGTAATATTAATATGAAGTATGAATATCAGTCTAAGACAGTTTTTTTGGTACATAAGCAATCAAAAAGGAAAAAAATATGCAAATGTAAAATTAATTTTGTTTTATTGAATTCTTCTTCGATATCGTTACATTGCTTAAGTTTCACTTTAATATAATTACATCATTATTATTAATTTATAAATTATGTCTTATGTAATAATATAATTTGATATAGGACGAGATGATTCATGAAATTGAAGAAGAAGAATCAGATCTTGAGGAATGTAATTTGATTTCACCTAAAAAGGAAATCAAGGAAGAGATACAGAAAATTAGAAATAAGTTGCTGCTTTCCTTAAATTTATGATCTACGGTAACATGTCATATAATGATTAAATTATCGGTTTTTATGATAACAGTTTTACATATTTTTGTATGATAATAATTTTATATTTTTGTAACGCAGAAGACTGCGAGCTCCATTATTTATTTTGTCCATCATACAAAATTAGCAAAAAAATCATCTGCGATAATAATATATTTTCTGCTAATTTTATATATTTTTTAATATAATATAACTTTTGTAATATAATGAAGTATAACTTAATCAGCATAGGATATACAGAGTTCCCAAAATTATTATCAGGGTTCTCGGATCAAATTATTAGAAAGATTCCTCGAAAAATTAAGTAAAAAAGTTATTTGTAAATTTTACTTCAAACAGTAATTTTTGAAATATAAAGATTTAAATATTACCAATTACAGATTACGTTTGAATGAGCATGAGTGACGTGTGGCATATGTTAATGAATATTGGTGAACGCTCACTTCAGCACACTTATAAATGATTATCTAAATATAATCCTGTAATTGGTAATATTTAAATCTTTATATTTCAAAAATTACTGTTTGAAGTAAAAATTTACAAATAATTTTTTTACTTAATTTTTTGAGAACTTTCTTGCTTTCATATTTTAATTCGCCAATTTCGGGAAATTCTGTATATGTATGTGTGTGTGTGTGTGTGTGTGTGTGTGTGTGTGTGTGTGTGTCTCGAATTTAAATGACAAACATTGATCTTGTTAATGAACAAGATTAGTTACGTAAAGTAATAAAGTAATAACTCGACGATCCGACATTCTTCTGAAAATCGGCGCGCATACGCTCGCACTATCTCTGAAGTATTAGATATTGCTCAAGTCGTACACGGAAATAATATTTCGCTTTGAAAGCAATAATATATTCCGAAACTTACGTTTTATCTTTTTTTTGCAATTTTCTTCAAAACGAATAAAAAATGAGCATACCTCTTTTTTCTTAGTTTCTCGATTCTTTATACTTTATTCTATTTAAATTCGGGACACCCTATATATAAAAATATTACATGGTCAAAATATATCAATAATTATAAAAATTTAATTTTAATCGTCGTTCGTGTTCACATTATGATTTCTAATTGTACACATGATTATTTGTTATTCTATATATTATATGTTTATTTCAAATTCAATTATGGTGTTCTTTCTCATATTTCTTACTTCTCAAAACACGATTGACAGATATCACGAATACTTTAACGTGATTCTTATGATCAGCTTTTTATGACTAACTATATTCATCATGATTAAAAATTCGAGTAAATAAATAACATTCGATAAATCTATATGATTTATGTCATCTTTCGTGCGATTTACGCACTCACGAAGGAATTTAAGTATAAAAATTATAGATTATTATTTTATTAATTATTGTATCTAGTTCATCATCATTCCGAACGCGCAATAATAAAGTTTTTTTAAATTTTTTTAGCCCTTAATAGGCTTATTTGGCCTCTCGATCAAACGTTAATGGGCATGGAATTGCGTCACAAATTTATTATTTAGGAGTTATGATAATTGAATAGATAACTGTGGATAATCATTATAAAAGCAAAAATAAAATATATTTATAATAAAATATAATATTAAAATGTAACTATAATATTATAAGAAAAGACATTTATAGCATTATCAATGATTTTTCAGAAAAACAAATTTTGTGGCAAACAAACTTACGGCCGCGATGCATAAAAGCTAAAGCCCGATTATGCACTAACATTACTGTGATTTTAAGCATGGTTTAAAAGTTTATCTCTCTCTCTCTCTCTCTCTCTCTCTCTCTCTCTCTCTTTCTTGACTTTAAAAAGAGAAAGTGAGAGTTTTAAGCCTCACTTAAAGTCGAAGTATCGTTGGTGCAATCGAGCCTGACAAATAGATTGAGATATCTCTCGCCGACTGAATTGTAACTTTTCCATCCTCGGGATCGCTTATGTGAAACGATACGCGAATAGGAATTCCGTCGAAATACATCCTATTTTATCATATAAAAATCACCTTTATTTAATAACTTTTTTCCCCTTCATAAATAAAATTCTACTTCATGTACTATAAAATTAAGGCTTTTATTAATTTGAAACACGTAAAATACACACATTTTAAAATATATTTTAAAAAGCGATAAATACTTTGTAACGGCGCTAAGACATGTTAAATTGTTATTTATAAACACATCAGCCCCTATAATCTGTAACTCGTTATGCAATCATTATGTGTTCATAACGACAGTCGCGCAGATATTTTATATAGCTAATAAAAAAGCAACTATCATTATGAACAGATAACGACAGGCCCAGGCGACGTTGGTATAGATACACAAGAGTCATGTTCTGATGTACATCCCTGCCAAAAATATTAGACATTCATATTTTTTTCATTTATCTGAAATTCTATTATTAGCATTGTTATCTGTTGACTTTCAGCATTATACATAAGTTTAAAAGATTCTTGAAACATAGGATAATTCACAGCAGATTCCAAAAATCAATTTAAGCTAAAATTTTTAATAATAGGGTGCCTAATATTTTTAATCGACACTGTATGCTGTCAGTACTGAAAATCTATATGTTACGTATGGTATATTATAAATTTTCATTGGCAATGGATTGGCAGTATATATTAATAAACACAGCCAAAGACACCGCGGTACCATTCGTAGTTCGTACACTGAAGCTTAACGTGCAGATCCTATGTTCCTATGAAAGTTTAGTTAAATCGGAAGAATAGAGACATCGAAAATATATCGAGATTAATAGTGATAAAAGGTATTTGAAACTTAATTCTCCAACTTAAGAAACACTTAAGTTGGAGAATATTTGGAGAACATCGAAATTTATATCAAGAAAAATATAAAAATATAAAAATATCGATGGAAATCGATAAAGAAATACATAAGCTCAAAGACATTATTCATGAATTGAGATTGAAATACAATATATAAGGATTCAAACTTTACTCGCTTTATACTGAAGCTAACGCGCTACAAAGTAAAATTAAAGCGAGTCAAGTAATGAAAATCATTCATCGCAAAATCATTCGTCGGAATCTATAAACAAGTCCTCCGACGAATCCTCAAACGAGACCAAAATGTCTCATAATGATGAAAGTACTTACGCAGCATTGAAAAAAGAAATACGATTATTAGAATTAGAGTCTATGAAAAATGGAATAATTGCGATGTTGAAGCTGCAAATACACCAGACTTTTATTTCATGAGAAGTTTAAAAACTTGCACGATCGTCTATAAAATACGTACAATAAAAAAATAACTTCGTTAATATGAATATTATTACGATTGAAAATACAAACGTAATTTCATAAATGCACATTGTTTTTACAGATTAGTTAAAAGCGGAAATGAGGACTACACTATTTATAAGATTAGGAATACATGAGGTATGCAAGAAAGACATCAAATGTGTTCAGATAATATCGAATATATTATGATTTTGTGATATTAGCAGCGGTATAATTGATGTTAAAGTCTGCGTTTACATTCAAAGATTTGTTATGAATCTATAGTTGTTTTTCATTTACCCCGATTCTTAGACAATTCTCTTTTGTGATATCATAACTCAGTTGAATACACGTTCCTTTTGCATTCTGACAAGTGAGATTTAACTGAGTTTTTGCCTGTAATCTGCATAAGCTCGAGATCGTGTGCTTTAGTGAGTTTCGTAAACTCATTTTAGAAGTAAAGTTATGAATCTGTCATGTGATAACTTTTTATCAAAATAAGCAAATAATGACAGTCTTAATCTGAGTATAAGATACTCAGCTTACTTCAGACTCAGTTTCACTGATGTGTACATGGAAAGCAACTTATATTCATTTCGATAATGTAGATATAGAATCTTTGAATATGAATGCAAGCTCAGCTCGATATTTGACTCGAATCTGATTTCACCTTAAGAGGTTTGTTCACGTCGTATGTGATAGTCACTCCAGCATACTCCAATGTGTTCCTGCTATAACTCCTATTTACTTCATCGAGCGCGTTAGAGTAAAGTTTGGTAAATATTATGATAGGAGCATTTTAAGCCTATTCTTCAATGTCTCTTTTTGTTTCTTGTTTCTTGTTTTTTGCTGTTTTTTATATCTTGTCTTTTTGCTTCTTATCCCGTTTTTGTTTTTTGTTGCTCGAGATAAACATTAACGTGAACTTCAAAAGAAACAGAAAACATATTAAGAAATATAATTGTTGATAAAACGATCACAAAGAGGAAAAAAGCAAAAGATGGAAAGCAAGAAACAGGAAACAAAGAGTACATTATAAAACAATCATTAGAGCATGCGACGCGAACAAATCTAAAGTGTTTTATTGTATATATGTATATGATGCTGGGGTCCAATTCAGAGCAGCCAAAATTTAGTCTTAAATATAATAGCACGACGCGATGATAGCAATATAAGCTGCATTGCGTCATTATTCAAGTTCTACTTTATTACATCATTATTATTAATTTATAAATGAGCAGACTTCCAAAATGTATTTTGGTCAAAGTTTATAATTTTCAAGAAACGAGAAAGAAAGCCACAAGGAAACCACGCATCTTATAGAAAACAATTTGCCAATCAGTAAGATGCAAAATGTTAAACAAAATTACTAACCTATTTCTAATGTTAAACAAATGTATTTTGTTTGTCTCTATTAAATGACAGAATACACTTCGAATATCTAGTTTTTTTTCAGCACAATTAATGGTGAAGCAAAGTTAATGGTGAAAAAATACTTTCAAAACATCGTAACATCGTAGAGTAACTTAAAATATGAATCTTTCAATACTGAACGCTATGTCATTTCTAATTCAAAAATAAAAAAAAAATAAAATTTTGGATAAAATGCATTTTGAAAGTCTGCTGCTCACAAATTATGTCTTATGTAATATAATTTCACATTTTAGAAGGGCGAAATAATTAATAAAGGACAACCAGATTATGAATGTCAATAATTAAAAATGACAAAGGATGATAAACTCAAGAAAGAAGTAGA